ATAACATGTAATTTTATTGTAAAACATTTTGAGGATTATCTAAAAATATATTTTCATATCTAATTATGTTGGTACGTATGGCTATGAGGCCTTACGTGTCTTAACCTATATTTGTGGGAATTCTATATATCCAACGTTCATATCCATATGAACGTAACCCTTTATCCAACGGTCATATCCATATGAATGTAACCCTTTAAAAACCCATTGGAGATCAGGAATCCCTTTCGTTTCTTAGAGACCTGTTAGAGAAATACAACGATTACCCCTTCTTCTCCCTATAAAATGGGAAGCCAGAGAGATGATGTGTATAACAAAGAAATAGGTATATTCTCTCTCTACAAAGTGAAGGGATCAAAATCTAGACGTTACGATCACCAGCCTCACGGCACCCCTTCTCTAATCTCGGGTTTTGTTTTATACACGCTCCATCAAATTTCACTTTCATTGGTATCAAAGCCACTAGCTCTCTCTGTAGAAGTATTGACCACATATTAATTTTTTGGTGCCTGGTCTAACTTCTTTAGAACTTAAAAAGAATTAGTTTGCTCACACAAAACTTGGCAAATGGTCAGTAGAATTGTAATAGCTAAACTTTCTAAAGTTGAAAAATTGAATAGAAATAATTTTGGGATGTGGAAGAGGAAGATGAAATATCTCCTCAACCAAGATAGAATCATATATGTACTAAAAGATGATCCATCAGTAGTTGGTGATAAACCGACTGAAGAAGAAAAGAAAAAGTTAGAAAAAATTTTAGAAGATGACCTGATAGCAAAAACATCTATGTTGACTTTTATGCAAGAGGCCCTTCTTAAGGTTTTCAAGCATCATGAAACATCTAAGAAAATGTTAGAGGCAATAAAAACCTCTGAAACACACCTCTAACTGCTATTAGAACAATATAATTCATTTAAGATGAAGGAGGGTAATAATGTAGTGGAACATATTAACAAGATGCTCATTATGGCTAAGGACTTAGCCAGTATTAAGAATGAAGTCCCGAGCGCATGCAAGTTTCTACTATTTTAAACAGTCTTCCACCTTCATGGACGATGGTAACAATTTTACTTAGGTTGAATGCGAAATTCCTTACATTAGGGGATGTACCTATGCAACTAGCCTTAGAGCAATAGCATATGAACAAAAATAAAATGAGTGAACTCATGCTTGCTCAAAGGCCTCCCAAATTTAACCAATCCAAGCCATATAACCAGAAATTTCAAGAGAAGTTTAATAAAAGAAACAATAGGTTCAAAAACAGAGGAACTAAACCCTACAACCACGAAACTAGACAATGACTAGCAAAATGCTTCTTATGTGATCAGCTAAGATATTTCAAGAACCGCCGCCCACTAAGTAGAAACCCGCAAAATTCAAAGAATAACGAGAATGAAAGCAAGAAGCGTGAAGTTGTTTGTGTGGTCTCTGAGTGCTTGATCGCAGACCATGACATCAAATGATGGTAGGTAGACTTAGGCGCTAATCAGCATATCACAAGTTCAAAAGGCCTCTTCGAGGACTTTCAAGAAATAAAAGTTGGGGAGAAATGCATCTACATGGGGAACAACACCTATTCTGATATATTAGGTATATGAACTTGTAGGTTGTATGTAGGGACAGTCGACCTTATATTAACTGATGTATATTTGGTCCTTTCTATGAGACAAAATATTGTACTTGTCCCCTTGCTCATTAAAAATGGCTTTGAAGTCTGCTTCCGATCATTGAAAATATCAACCAGAAAGCATGAACAAATTTATGCTTGGGGACGCTTAGTCGATGACCACAACTTGTTCCTACTTCATGTAAATGAGAAAGCTGACAATAAAATTTCATGTTATTCTAGTTATATTGATTGTATAATGATTGTTGATGCATATACTTGGCATCTTAGGCTTGACCACATAGGAAAAAACAAAATGCATAGGTTAATAAAGAAATATCTTAATCCAAATCTAAATAATGTAGAATTTCTAATCTGTCAACATTGTTTGTCAGGAAAAATGATTAGGAAATCATTCAATAAAGGAGAGAGAGCTAATGAGTTATTGAATGTGGTTCACTCAGACATTTGTGGGCCCCTTAATGTTAAAACTCATAGAGGGATGTCATACTTTATCACTTTTATTGATGATTTTTCTAGATTTGGATATCTTTATCTAATTCATCGTAAATCATAAGCTTTAGAAAATTCAAAATATATAAAAAAGAAGTAGAAAACAAATTGGGTCGGAATATTAAAGTTTTTATAACTAATAGGGGAGGTGAATATACATCTGAAGCTTTCAATGCTTATTGTCAAGAATATGGTATTAAAAGACATACTATTATTCCTTATACACTACAGCAAAATGGAATAACTGAAAGCATATCCATGTATATTCTTAACAGGGTTCCAACTAAGACAATAGATTCTACCCCTTATGAACTATGGATTGGTAAAAAACCTGATCTATCTAACTTAAAGAAGTGGGGGTCGACTGCCCATGTTCTAATCACATATCAGCATAGAAATAAATTAGAAAACAAAACACTTATTTGTAGGATATAGGATACCACGAAGGTTCAAAGGGATATTGATTTTATCATAAAGATAATGGACTTATAGAAAGTAGAGATACTGAGTTCTTAAAAGATGTTATTGAAAAAAACCTTTCTGTAGTGGATAATGAAAATCCACTTAATATCATAGATGACTTGGAACCACTACCTACAGTGGATAAAGATATTCCTGATCAACATAATGATTTTGAAGTACACACACACCCAATGTTAAGTGGTCAAAAGAGGTCTAGCGCTCCTCCATCATATCTTGATGATTTTTATGTCTATATGAGTGAGGAGACAGACAACTTTATTGATCTAGATGAAACCCATGACCCTTTTGACTTCAATGATGCTATGAAGTCACAAGAATCTCAAGAATGACTTAATGCCACGAGAGAAGAATTAGATTCTATAGAGAAAAATAAAGTTCGGGATTTATGTGATTTACCATTAGATAGGAAACATATAGGTTCTAAATGGGTACTTAAAAGGAAGTTAAAATCCGATGGATTACTTGATAAATTTAAATGTAGGTTAATAGCAAAGTGTTTTACCTAAAGAAAGGGAGTTGACTATATCGACACTTATTCTCCAGTTGCAGCATTTATATCTATTTGAATAATTTTAGCAATCGTTGCATGTTATGACATAGAACTTTACCAAATGGATGTAAAGACTACATTCCTGAATGGTGAATTAAAGGAAACCATATACATGAAGCAACCTAAGGGCTTCATAATTAAAGGTCAAGAAAATAAAGTATATAAATTAAATAAGTCTTTATATGGTTTAAAACAATCTTCAAAACAATGGTACTTAACATTTCATGATGTCATCCTACAGATGCGATATGAAATAAATCCATTGTGTGTATGTCTTGAAGAGTGGGAGTAAATTCACAATACTCTCATTATATGTAGATGATATCCTACTAGCTGAAAATGACTTAGAAATGATTGATAAGAATAAGTCATGACTTTCTTCTTGGTTTGAAATAAAGGATATGAGAGAAGCATCTTTTGTCCTAGGCATAAAAATAACTAGAGATAGAAAATAAAAAATGTTGTGCTTGAGCTAAGAGAAATATCTTGACTTTATTCTCAAAAGATTTAAAATGGAAAATTGTAAGCTATTGTCTACTCTTGTTGAAAATAGAGTAAAGTTGTCTAGGAATGATTGTCAAGTAAAACGATAAGAAAAACCTAACGTTCCCTATACACAAGCTATGGTAGCTTGGTATATACAGTAAGATGTACAAAGCCAGATTTTAATTATGTCGTAGGACTTATTAGTAGATATCAAAATAATCCAAGCATAGCTAATTGAAAAGCAGTAAAAAAGAATTCTAAGGTACATTAAGAGAGCAAAGCATCTAAAATTATGCTTTCCAGCAGATAAGCTTGAAGTTATAGAATATTCAGATGCAGATTTTGTTGGGGATAAGGACGATAGTAAGTCCACCTCAAGACATATTTTCCTCTTTGGAGGGGCTGTTGTTTCTTGGTTTAACAAGAAACAAGGGTGAGTAGTTAGGTACACACAGAAAGTAGAATACATTGCATGTAGCACTGATTGTACTTTTGTCATCTGGATAAAGCCC